TTGTGCTCCTCTGTTGCTTTCACTCCCTTACTTTCTGACTTTGTGCATCTTTTTTTGTTCTGAAGAGCTCCATTCCAACACAGAGCCTGCCCAAGGTCTGCGTGCCCAGAACACACAAACAGACAAAGACATTCTCCRACACACAAACACAACCTCTCCRCATTGTTCCGTTTCCACAAACACATTTGACACATCCACAAGCGTGTCCCTTTGTGGACCGTTGCCATGCAACATTTCTCTGATTGGGTTAGTTGAGCTCTGGTGAGTGTGCGCTCACACACACACACACACACACACACACACACATGATCCTGCTGGTTGATGAGGATCAGATCACACACAGTCCGTCGCCACACCCATCCTCCTCTCCCGCGGGACTCAGCTGCTCCTCCGAGGCCGAGGATGGATGGATGGCGAGGAGACGCTCGCTCCCAGCTCCACGCTTCAGTCCAGAGCTGCAGCTTTTCTTGGCGAGATCCTTGAAGGTGTTGTTTTTCTTTCGAGAGTCCCAGGTTCACTTATTTGTTCAAACGTTTTCTTTTATAACGTCCATCACAAAATTCATCTTAAAGTGCTTGAAACACAACCACAAGTGTGTGGCCATGTGCTTCAGGTTGATTGGTTTTTTTAGCACATTTTATTTGCTAGAATTTAAATCAGCTCTGTCTTGAACATTTCATTGTGACTTTTATTTCATTGATTGTTTTTTTTTTGTTTATTTGTGTTTCTTAAGTGGTTGGCACCCTCCACTGGAACTGAAACTGGGATTTCATGATGCTTGTGTTTGTTATAGAGGAAGTTTAATTCTCAGGGGAGAAAAAAATTATGTTTGTTCAATTTTAACAATGTTCATTTTGATTCAGATGAAAACTGTGAACAGAATGCTTGGTGTGTGGCTGAACCGTTCGTGTTTGCTGCACTTTGTTTCAAAGATTAGACATTGATTGGGAAAAATGTGGTTGTTTACAAAAATTTATTCATACAAATTTTACAACACTTTCATGACATTGAGAAACGCAAACAAAAACCCATATTATAAGGACTCCTGTGTGTATAATGATGCCACTTGCACTGAGGTTCACTTTTAAAACACATTTTTTGTTGTTTTTTTTGTCTTTTTTTTTTCAAAGAGATAAGAGGTTACACATTTAAGTAAGGCGTTTGGCGCTGTCAGAACTATCAACAACAGGCATTTTCTATGATCTGAAAATCTTTGCTTTGAACCCTTTTTATTCAAGATAGTGAAGCACAGAGTCGGTAAAGAATGTATATAGGGGGCTTTTTTTTCTGATGAATAAATTATCGCCCAGTAGGAAAATAATCAACAACACCTGATAAATAACAACAACAAACACTGGTCATTGTTCACAACTCCCACAGACAATGAAGACTTCAAATCCATGCACACACACACAGACACACACATCTCCTGCTCCACCAACAAATACATTCTATTCTTGTCTACTTTTGTTTTTCGTATAAAAAATAAAAAATAGAAAGAAAAACTGGCCATGCTGTAAACAAAAGCCTAATTCTACTACTGTCGGGGCAGACTAAGCTGAGTAAACAGTAAAAAGGAAGTTTCAATGTAAGCTAATGGACTGCAGCATTGTAGGGCCACTAAAATTGCCATCTGTCACTTGTGGCGAATTTTTATTTTTTATTTTTTTAGCTTCTTTGTTTTTATTTTTAATATTTTTTTATTATTTTTTTGTCTTTTTCTTTAACTTTTTTTATATTATTATTTCTATTTCTCACATCAAAGCAAGGCACCGAAGCCGAAAGCTGTTTCCACCTCCAACGTTTATGCTCAGTCACTCATCCACGCACAAAACATCAGTTTTGCAAGCGCATCACAAAAGCAGGCGGGATCAAGCCAGATTGAAAGAAGGGGTGGGTGGGGTAATARTTTAGGCCGCTGGTTCGATTGCAGGCAGTTGGGAGAGCATAAAGCKGCGTTTTGCGCAATGCTGAATAATTACATGTCTGACTAATAAAAGTCAGAGGGGATGTCCTGCAGGGTGGGGGGGAAGGGGATGGAGGGGCATTGCAAAACTCACATCCTCCTGCTGAAACTCTGTGAGGGGAATTCAACATCTGATATACTTCTTATCAGACTCATTGACCCTGATCTCACCACGTTTTCTTTTTAATTTCTCACTTTTTCTCTAAATCTCACCTGACACTCCTTACATCCTCACTGCACAACACCGATCAGCTTTGTCTCCACAGTTTGAACTATACAGCACTACTCTACCAACAACTTAGCATGGCCACTGAGATGAAAAAAACATTAGCTCTAAAATATTGCTGCAAAGACAAAACAAAAAAAAAGCAATCAGCCAAATGAAAACTAGGGTCCTCTCTCCACTTTGACAGTGGCAGGGGGAGGACAAAAAAACTCAACAAGTCAGTGCAGTACCAGTTTCTACCACCTTCAGCCCTCCTTGTTCAAATTTTTTTGTCACAAAGCATCTGAGGGGGAGTGGTGCTGAAATAGACTTAGCATAGCCCACTTCACAATTAGCAGAACAAAAGAGCAGCATGCAGTTTCTAAGCCAGTTTTCATGCGCCATAGACAAATTTAATATTCTCAACTCTAATTGTGCCTTTTTTTGCTCCATTTCCATTTTTTTTTGTTCTTTTGCATGTCCTTGGTCCTTTCAGAGTTCATGCCCGAATACAATCAACAGCTGAATTTCTTAAATAACCCCATTAATCGACACAAACGCACACATTAAACATTCTCCACACAGTTTTGTTGAACACGATTTCTCTGACGAGTTTGAGGCAAGTGAGCAGGCAGTGATTTCTGCATCCTGTTAACAACGTTAACTTCAGTCAAGGCAACAAATCTCCTGCAAGAGGCTATTGTTTTAGCAAAAACAAAATATCACAAAGGTTAAATTTTCTCACTAAGTCTTTCAGTTATCCAGCAAATACGAGGCTCTCCAACGAACAAACAAAAAAATCTGACTTCCACCAAACTATTCAAACCCACAGAGCGTCCATTAAAAGAAGCCTGGAAATAAGTGGATAAGGGCACATCTGTCATTTTTTATAAGCTGAATATGTCTCACATAGCATGCTCACTGGTTCTTTGGGCCTGGTTAAAACAAAAACAAAAACAAACAGACAAATAAAACAACACTAAAAAAATAGAACGTCGGTTACAAAAATAAGTATAACATTCAATGCTTTGATTGTCTTTTTAAAATCTATTTATTTTCTGCATATGTAGATGACCTTTAAAGATTTCAAGCGCATATAACGTTGAAGGTGCACATCTATATATATATATTTTTTTCTTCTTAAATCTGGTTCTTTTTTTTTTCTTTTTTTCTTTTTTTGCTGTTTTTCAAACATGACATGAAAATAAAATATTGGTCCACAACTGTGCGGCATGTTATCAAGTGCTTTTGTACAAAAAAGGAAAAGGGGAAAAACTGATATTATTAATAAAATATTAATTTTAATGGCTTTACTTCATACATAAATAAATACATGTTGGAGGAGAGAGGGAGGGAGAGAGAGAGAGAGAGAGAGAGAGAGAGAGAGAGAGAGAGAGAGAG